GAAAAAGAAAACGTTACCAACTTTACCATCATTACTAACAGGAGCAACGACAAACATACATTGCCCCCTTGTGGCCTGGATGAGCTACAGCAGACTTGAAATATTTGGTTTGAAGTTTTTTCCCATCGGACTGAGAAGATTCTTCTGACCAACAGAGGAAAATAAAAACCACACACCTGTCACCCCCCCCCCCCCCCCAGGTTGAGTTTCCTGAGGTCTGTGTCTGCCGTGGTCATGGGTTCAAAACCCACAGAGAAATGTGTATGTGAAGCCAGTCTGATGTGCGTCAGGGTGTGTGTGTGTGTGGGTGTGTGTTTGTGTGTGTGTGTATGCGCAGCATCATATTGGTCTCTAGAATCAAATGTTTGAAGGAACTTCGAGGAACCCTGTAGCCTCCCTTGGTGAACGACACGGTCGACGCGATCGGACTCTGACTCTGCTTCTCCTCCAGTCACTGAATCTGAAACTGACACCAGTCTTTTCCCTTTTTTCGATACGAGGACTAACACTTTGGTTAACAGTAGTCTGGCTTCTGTAGACACTTAGCTTTACACCGTGCTTTCAGCGACTGGAGAAAAAAACAAGGACCTGGATTGTTAAAAAAAAAAAAAAAAAAAAGAAGAAGAATTAAGTGGATTTTGAGACTTGAAAAATTTTGCCCAATTTTTTTTTTTTTACTGTACTTGTTTTGTAAAGAAATTTGACATCTGTTATATTTTGTTCTTTGTGCTGTAAAATACACAAAATGATATGAAAGAGGTTTGCTTTTCCAAAACGTTGGTTGCCTTTACAAGTGAAAAACAAAAAAATATTATTTTTTTTTTTTGCAGCTTCCATTTCTGTAGCCAGGATCAATGATTCATATTATGTTATTCAACAGGATGATTGATGTGTTGTTTTTCAATTTCATGAAGAAATAATAAAGACACGTGTAGGAGTTTAGCATTTTCTTTTTCAGACATTCATAATGGCTTTGTTCTCTTTGATCCTATTTTGTAAACTATGATATGTAACTTTAACATCGGACAAAAACTTTATTATTTAATAATAATGATAATAATGTATGTATTAGCAGTAGAATGTCATAACCTGTACCTGAGGTCTTTTTTATAGATGTATATACAATGACAGGTTTCAACCATTAAATGTGACCATTTCACAATGAACACTGACAAAGAGACATTTATTCACTAAAAAATGTAAAAATGAAACACCTAAATAAATATAAAAACATTCTTAAATGCTCTAATTTATTAAGAAACATTCAGAAAAGAAATGATAAGAAATTTCATAATAATTGTTCAACATATGACAATATTTACATGCTAAATTAGGATTTTGCCATAAAATTCATATTTATCTGAATTTTATAGCACAATTTTGTTTTTCTGCATGTTTCCCATGTAGTAAGGGCATTTTGAGAAATTTTTTTGGAAGTTTTTGTCAAAATGAAAATTTTATCTAATTTTTGGTGAATAATTTTGATGAAAAACTTTTTTTTCAAAATGTTATCCTTTTTGCACGTCTCTCGTCAAATTATAGCATTTTGATTTTTTTTGTATTAAATCGTCAAAATCTGAATTTTTTTCATTTAATGGCAAAATTCTAATAAATTTTGACTATTTTTTTAAATTAATTTGCAAAATTTTATCTTTGCCTACATGTTTCTCATCAAATTAATCTGAAGTTTTAGTGCCTTATTCTGACGAACATTTTTGTGAAATTATTTTTCAGAATTTTACCTTTTCATGCATTTTTCTCAGCAAAGCAGGGCATTTAGAGAAAAAATTTAGAATTTTTTTAATTAAATCTTTTGGCAAAATCTAAAGTTTTAGTGCCATTTATGGTCAAATTTGGTAAACTTTTGACAAACATTTTTGTAAAATTATTTTTCAGAATTTTATCTTTTGGCACACGTTTCTCATCAAATCAGGGCAGTCAAAGAACATTTTTAGAGATTTTTTGTATTAAATCTTTTGTCTGAAGTTTTACTGGCATTTTAGGTCAAATATGGTAGATTTTTGACAAACATTTTTGTAAAATTATTTTTCAGAATTCTATCTTTTGTTGCAGGTTTCTCATCAAATCAGGACTTTTACAAAACATTTTTAGAATTTTTTTGTATTAAATCTTTTCAGAAAAATCTGAAGTTTTAGTGCCATTTTAGGTCAAATTTTGATGACCATTTTTGTAAAATTATTTTTCAGAATTCTATCTTTTGGTGCAGGTTTCATATCAAATCAGTCAAAGAACATTTTACGAAATTTTCTGTAATGAATCTTTTCTCAAAATCTGGATGTACAGGCTACTAAAGACCCACAATGCATTGCTTTCAGTGCTTCCTAAACAATTATATAAAGACCGTTTACTACATTGCGTACCTAAAAACGTGTCCTGTATCATTTATGTTTCTAAACGTGTGTCAACAGCTCCCTCAGGTGGTTAAAATGTGTCATTAAGCTGCACAGCGGCAGGCACGGTCAGTGGGTGGAGCTACACCTCCCTCCCTCCCTTCAGCTCAGGTGCAGCTCGTTTCCACACACTGTCAGTGCGGAGCCAGAAAACAGAACTCTGACTGGAGGGAAACGAGAAGCTGATGTTGCTGCAGAAAAACCAAAATAAAAAAGGCCTGAGTGACAATGGGACACAGTTTGGTGGATCTGTCTCCGCTGCTGCTGCTGCTGCTGATGTCACCAGTCTATGGAGGTAGGAGGAGGAGGAGGAGGAGGAACATCACTCAGATTCAACACAGACCATGTTAACATTCTTTAGAATTTGTACTTTTAAATTCATTAACGTTACAGATACCTTGTTTGTTTTGATCAAATTTAGAAAACATGCGCTACAGTTTTACACATTTGCAGTTTTAAAAAAATCGTTGTTTTATTATTGATGTGATTTTAACTTTGATTTAACTAAGAAAGTGTTCAGTAGCCAACCAGCCGGTCAAGCTGACCAGGTGAACGACCAGGTGAACGACCAGGTGAACGACCAGGTGAACGACCAGGTGAACGACCAGGTGAACGACCAGGTGAACGACCAGGTGAACGACCAGGTGAACGACCAGGTGAACGACCAGGTGAACGACCAGGTGAACGACCAGGTGAACGACCAGGTGAACGACCAGGTGAACGACCAGGTGAACGACCAGGTGAAACCCTGAAAACAAACGTAATGACACTTTAAATAAAACATAAAGGAATGATTTGCTGCCTTGATCAGCGCCCCCTGTTCTGACACTGGTTTATTGTACCAGAGACAAGTGAAGCGGTGTTGGCAGATTAATAATAATCCAGTCTTGACTCGAAGCACAGACAGGCAGATTAGAATCAGGTGAACAGACGTGCAGCGATCACAGACAACCCGCAGACTCGGCGTTTTTACACTTTCACGCTGTAAAACAAACAAACAACGAAATGTAAAAAACAAACAACACCGCACAACAGCAAACTATGCTAACGTGTGTTAGCTCTATGTCAACCCTCACATTTGTTTCAATATCTTTGCTAGCATATTAACACAAGTTGTTATTACCGAAAGAAAAAGAAGAACAAGTTATGTTAGCACCTAGCTAAAATAACGTTTGTTTGTTTTTTGTGGTTTCATCGGACATTGTATCCATGTAGCTGCAAATTAGCATTAGCCATTTGCTAATAGGAATTATTTTTTTGTAAACGTTCTCTGGGAATCATAGTATTTTAATTGAAAGTAAATGTGATTTTTGTGTCACGGTGTTCGTTTTCTGATTAGTTTCAAAGATTCTTCTGTCTCAGACTAATTAGCAGCAGAACATTTCAGGTTGACCTGCTCTTTGATACATTAGTGGTCATTAATTGAATTCCGATAACAGACGCATTGACAAAACGGTCAGGACATATTAGCCTAGATCGCTCTTAGCATCCACTAACAAAAGCAGAACTGCCAGCGTGCCTGGTCAAAAGAACTTCCAACAAAACTTTCATAGTTCCATCGTTTTTTTAATTTTGATTTTTTTCTATGTAAAAATAATTCAAATGTATGTTTTCATTTTGAACTCCATCTTTTTGTGCTGTCCTTTGAGGTTTCCTGTTTCCACGCAGCTACGCTGTAGGCAGCTACACCGTAGGGCGCTACACCGGAGGTCGCTCCACCGTAGGTCGCTACACCGTAGGCAGCTACACCGTAGGCAGCTACACCGGAGGTCGCTACACCGTAGATCGCTACACCATAGGCCGCTACACCGTAGGTCGCTACACCGGAGGTCGCTACCCCGACGCAGCTACGCTGTAGGCAGCTACACCGTAGGGCGCTACACCGGAGGTCGCTCCACCGTAGGTCGCTACACCGTAGGCAGCTACACCGTAGGCAGCTACACCGGAGGTCGCTACACCGACGCAGCTACACCGACACAGCTACACCGACGCAACTACACCGACGAAGCTACACCGACGCAGAAGTAGAATGAGGTTTAGACTTTTGGATTCTTTCAGAAATGTAGCAGGTGTGATGTTTGTGAGGGCGCTCCACCTTTAGAACTCTCTGGAATGTGTTACTGTGGGTTACTGTCCTGAGGAGAGCTGGGAAAGACTGCTGTCAAATTCAAAGAGAAAAAAATCAAACCCACTGGCACAACAAGTTCCTTCATGAAGTAGTTGAGCGGAGTCTGTCAAACACCTGCAGGTGTTTTTTCTGTAGATGTACTTCATAGTTTGTGTGTCACCTGGTTTTCACCTTTGTTTCCCCTCAGGTCCGTCTGGACCTGGGCTCAGGTGAACATTCACTGCGTTTTGAAGAAGGAATAAAACCATGTGACAGGAAGTGGCATATTGTGCAGTTGAACCATGACGGACACAACCTAACCATGACTCTGGACCAACAGTTCCACACCAGCCTGAGCATGCCAGGTCCAGATCGGGAACTCGGTGTCCTTGATGGGCTTTTTATCGGTGGGGCAGCTGCTCTGAAGTACCCCTACCTTCACGCCTCCACCGCTGGGTTTCGAGGTTGTGTGGATGAAGTGGTGTTTAATGAACATAACCTGCTTTCAAGTCTCAGGCCGTACTTTGGCTTCAAAAGTGTCCACCAGGTATCGACGGGTTGTGACTCCCAATTTTCTGCAACAGAACTCGATCCCGTCAGTTTCTCTGGGCCCAAATCCTTCCTGTCGCTCCCACCGTGGGAGTTTCCACAGGAGAGAGTGTTTGAGTGTGAGCTTCACCCATCTTCAAAGGAAGAAGACGGCGTGGTCCTGTACACCTCTGGCAACCAGGGAGAGTTCCTTGCAGTAGAGATTGTAAATGGCCACCTGGTGGCAACGGTAGGAAATGCGGAGGGGAGTAAGGTGGAGCTGCGCTCTCCAACAAATGTACGCAGGAGCTCCACCTGGTACGCCGTCCAGCTACATCTGCTGCCCTACAGCATCCGACTGAAGGTGGATCAGGAGTCGATCAAGGCCGATCTAGGTCTGGAGCCGCAGGTTGTCCACCTCAAAGGTGCTCTTTTTTTAGGAGGGTTGGATGAGAAGGCACACGGAGAGGCTAGGAGAGTTGGTCTGCGTTCTACCCTGTCACCAGCAGGGGGGTCCTTTAAAGGTTGTCTCCGAGACATCAAAGTAAACAGTCAAAGTAAAGGACTTCCCCAAGCTCTCATCACAAAGGACATCACTGTGGGCTGTGGAGCAGCACACGTCCAGATAATGACAACCCCTAGTGGTCCAACGAGGACTCCACAGATTCAGGCCACAACCGCAAAACCAAATATTACAAATAAAAGGATCCCAAACTTTCTGCTGCTCGGAAAACTGGAGGTGGACGAGGGAGGACGAGCTCCACTGGAGCCCAAACACATCAAGGTAATTCACTCATTATTGTTGTTGTTGTTGTTGTTGTTGTTGTTGTTGTTGTTGTTGTCATCGTTATCTTACCGACCTTAAAAATTTGCAGGTAAATCTAAATTTTCGCAAACTAGGAATCCATCCTTCCCAGTTCAAGTTTCACATTGAGAAGCGTCCAGTTTATGGCCGGCTCCTGATGGACCTCAGTCCAGACTCTGACGCCGACCTGGATAAGGCACGAGAGAGGAACGCCACTGCGGGAACCCAGGACAAGAACGGGACTTTTAGCATGCTTGACCTTTGGCAGGGCCGGGTGATGTACGTTCACGGGGGCTCGGAGGAACCCAGTGACTTCTTCGTGTTCTCAGTTTCTGTCAGCAGCAGGAAGCAGATACCTGGCTTTCTGAAGGTCAAACATCTGCAGCGCTTTGATATCACAGTCACTCCTGTTAATGACGGCCCTGAGCTCAGTCTCCCACGGGGAGATGTCTTCACACTCCCACAGACGTCCAAACGACAGGTAAGAACGCAGCAGAACATCTGAAGGTCCCGGGCTCGGCTGGCGGTTCTGATACACTCCTGTTGTTCCTAGTTGACGACCGATGTCTTGAAAGTGTCGGACCCCGACAGCAGTCCTACAGAGCTGGTCTTCAGCTCTCTGGGTGACATCATCACTGAAGCAGGACACCTTGAGCACAATGATTTCCCCCGGAGGTCAGTCCTACTTCCTACTTAAAAAAAAAAAGTTGAAAATAAAGACATGTCATTCATGCGTTTAGACATAATCAAGGTCTTGGTGCTAGTACTGGTCCTGTGGTCCGGTCTGTCGCCGAACCAGTAGAACAAAGAATAAACATTGTAGTTGTTTTTAGGGCGATAAACTTGTTCACCCAACGTGATCTGGAGGAGGGGAAGATCGTCTTTGTCCACAGTGGCGTCTCCACCACCAGGCTGCTGCTGAGGGTCAGTGATGGACAGAAGGTAAGACAAGGACAAAGTGACTCTGTAGGTACAGGAGTGTGTGTGGTCACAGCAGTGACTGTTAGAGTTCCTGTGATGTCGGGGTCAGAACCTCTGAATTCTTTTTTTTTTCCTTTTATCTGGACTCGCTCTGGTCTTATTTTCATCTTTTTTTGATTTTTGCAGTCAAGCAACACGGTGGTTCTGCGGATCGTAGCGGTTCCACTTGAGTACAAAGTGGTGAACAACACAGGTCTGGAGGTGAACCAGGGCCAGGCTTCGGTCATCACTACTGACCATCTGGCCGTGGAAGTAAACTTGGCAGATCAGACGGCGGACGTTGTCTTTGATATAACGGAGTCGCCACGATACGGCCAACTTCAGAGGCTGCACTCAAGTGGAGAATGGAAAGTCACGACGTCCTTCTCCCAGAAACTGTTAGAAAAAGAACGCATCCGTTACTTCAGCACTTACTTCGGCCTTCAGAGTCACAGGAACGTCAGCGATCACTTCAAATGTCACATCAGCATCAACGCTGTGGCTACAGCGGAGCTCAGTGTTCCCGTTGCGGTTCACTGGATTCGCTTCAAGGTCACAAGAAGTAAGGTGGAGGTCAACAGCGTTGCGGCCGTTGTCGTGACCTCTGAGAACCTCCAGGCCATCTCCAAAGGTGTCAAACTCCAGGAGAGCGACATCTACTTCCGACTCCTGACCCTACCAAAGAAAGGTCAACTCCTCCTTCAAAACAAAGTTCTAGTGAAGAACTCAACCTTCAGCCAGAAGAACATCACCGATGGTTTGCTGAAGTACGCGCTGTACCACAGAGTACACGTCCACACCAGAGACATGTTCAGCTTTCAGGTCTTTTCGTCACAAGCCGTTTCTTCCAGTCATGACTTCAGGGTCAACATTAAAAATGGTTCCACTGATGTCACTGTGGTCAACAAGGGGCTCACGGTCCTGGAGGGGGGCAGTCGAATCCTCACCAAAGACTTCCTGTTCACGTACACTGCAGCTGGCCGTGAGGTCCAGTACACGGTGACAAAGAGTCCACAGCATGGACAGCTGAGGAGGGTCAACCTGTCCAACTCCTCGTCCGTTAATCACAACGTGGTCCTTTTCACAAACTGGGACATTTCACAGGAGAGACTGATGTACGTTCATGACGACAGTGAAACCACACAGGACCATTTCAAATTTCAGATTCTGGTACACACTGGTAAACAGGAAGAAAGTACCGGAGGTGAACGTAGCTTTAACGTCTCCGTGCAGCTGGTCAACGACCACCGACCTGAGAGGGTGGTGGACAAAGTCTTCAACGTGACCCGGGACGGTCAGAGGCTGCTGACGCTGAATGACCTCCGCTACAAGGACGAAGACTCGGACTTTGACGACGGCGCCCTGGTATACACTCGAAGGGGGATTCCCATGGGCGACGTGGTGCTGAGCAGTGACCCCAGTCACAAACTGTACCAGTTCACACAGAGGGACATCCAGCAGGTCAGTTCGACTTCGACATATTTCTCAGTGAGATTAGATTAGATTAGATTAGAAGTTCCCTGGTGGTCAGAAGTGTGTAATGAACTAAATATTTCCCAGTGAGATTAGATTAGATTAGATTAGATTAGATTAGATTAGATTAGATTAGAGTGTGAAGTAGAAGTCACACCATCTCTCATCAAATTAGTAGAACTGAAGTGAAAGTTTCCATCAGTCATTTGGTAACGAACTTTTTGGTGGTGATTTTTGTTCCCAATTTAGCTGCTCACAAGTGATTATAGCAAACTAGCTAATAGCAATATGAAGCTCGCTAACGACTGTTGGGGATAAAGGTTTCGCCGTCTACCTGGGGGTGGTGTATAACCTGAGGCCAGTGAGAAATAAGACCATGTGATGGAAGATGTGGAGATTTCTATGGTTTGAAGCATCAACTGTTTTTCTCTTAGAACAAGGTGCTGTTTGTCCACGGAGGAGTCAGCTATGGACGGTTTGTGCTTTTTATAAGCGATGGGAAACATTATGTGTCTACTCTGTTTGAGGTGAGATCTTTTCTTTCTTCTCTATCAAACCCATTTCTAGTTCTGGAAGAACTCTATGTAGAAAGAAAGATTCAGAACCAGAGGCTGAAAGTCTCTGACATCACTGTAGTTATAGTTTTGACCAAATGTGTCAAACCTGAGGACACCGGGCTGATAGGGGTCCACTACATCATACAACACGTGTACTGTGTTCAGCCTAGGGTCACCCACGTTGACCTCTCACCTGGTATACTAGTGTAGTGGACGGAGCTGATGTCCAGATAAGTGATTTTATTGGACAGACCCAGTTGAGATCGTCTCATTTATTTGATGACACAGGTCATGGCCCAGGATCCTTATCTTCACGTGGAAAACAACACCGGTCTCATGGTCCAACGAGGCGGGAACACAAACGTCACGTCTGCTAGCCTCAGCGTCCTTACCAACCTCGACATCCGCGATCCACAGGAAGTGACGTTCCAAGTCTTCCTCCCGCCTCAACACGGTGTCCTGTGCCTAATGGACGGTGACTGTGACCCGGCCAATCAGGCGAGTGGAGTTTCAACGTTCACCCAGTGGGATCTAGAGACAGAGCGTCTGTCGTATCACCACGACGGCAGCTACGAACTCTCGGATTGTTTCAACGTTACAGCAAAGGCAAACGAGAAGAGCACCGCTGGGCAACGGGGCAGAAGGAGGAGGAGCGAGGTTCGTCTGGACATCGCAGTTCCGATTAAAATCTACCTGGAGAGTCACCAGAGGCCCCCGACGGTCCTCACGAACCACCCGGTGGTCGTGGAAGAGGGACAAAATGTCTCCGTCACTAGAGTGAATTTAGAGGTCAGAAACCATATTTATTCATTCCACCAAACCATGACGTCACAGTGTGTTCTAGTCACGTTGTTTTTCAGGTGGTCCATGAAGACAGCCGGCCCCCAGACGTCACCTTCACTGTCCTCAACCCCCCATCTCTGGGCTTTCTTCAAAAGACCCCCCCTGTCCATGAGCAGCAGACTATCAATGGGAAACAGCGACACCCACAGGTACAACCATGTCTGCAGTCATTTCCGGTCCATTACTGCTGGACAGCACCTCTGTCTTCAGCCGTGGTTTGTCACACACTTACCCTGATTTTCCACTGGGTGTCAGTGTTGTGTTGAAACCCTGTAAAACCAGGGGATTCAGCCATGAAGGGGCGTAAAAAAAGGAAACAACAAACAACAGTATTTGACTCTGTCCTCGTCCATGGTGAAAATCAACCACGTGACCTGGCTGTTTGACCTCTGACCTGCTGTCACCAGAATTGACGCATAGGTCGTACTGTCAGGTGGACATTGTTTTATTTTGAAGCTCAGTGGAGGTTGTGTTGATGAAGTTGAGGAGGAACCAACGCTCCCTGGGTGTATGACAGTGGCGCCCCCTACTTCTGTTTCACAGACAGCTGCATTTCAGTCCTCTTCTTTTGCAGACCTTTGACCCCGAGCAGACGAGCTCCTTCACCCAGAGTGACGTGAACCAGGGATTGATCATCTACCATCAGCGGGCTGCTGGAGGCAGAAATGACTCCGTTCTGTTGGAGGCGACCAACGGCATGACTGAGGTTGGACCCATCGTGCTGGAGATTGACATCATTCCAAAACTTGTCCCTCTTCAGGTACAACATGTCATTACATGTAGTGAACGTCTCAGAGAACGTTCCAGACTATTGAGCGCAGCTGAATATAAGCCCCACCCACTAAATTTAAAAATGGGCCTCAGGTGTCCAGGTGTTTTTTTTTCTTCACTTTTTCCGAACAGAGCCTGTAACACGGCTGGTTACACGTTAGCTTTTACCGTAGACTGCACAGGGGAGACTCAGTGACCCGCTCCAGGGTCGAAGGGTCAGTGATACTAACCTGACGACTCTGCAGGTGTCTGAGTTGACCCTGGATGAAGGCTCTGCTGCGCCTCTAACCACTGACCTCATCAAGGTCACCAGTCATCACTTCTCAGACGTGAACTTCCTCTACCAAGTCCTGGTTCCACCCCGACACGGACACCTGGAGCACAGCCGGATCCCAGGGATGGCCATCGCTGCCTTCACACACACTGAGGTTCCGCTCCACACACTCTGTGTCAGAGAATGTCCCAGTCCCTCTCTGATCATCGCTCATCAGGTTCCTGCCCCCTTCATCTCCAGGTAGAACGTCACTTCATCTCCTACGTCCATGACGGCAGCGAGACACACAGAGACAACTTCACCCTGGTGGCCAATCAGACAGAAACCAGCAAACACAGCCTGCCGTGTACCATCAACATCAGCGTGGCACCGGTCAACGACCAGACTCCTGTCGTCACGGCCAACCGAGGTCTGAAGGTAAGAAGAAGGTGCAGGACGTCTTGACCTTCTCTCAGACCGATTGACAGGAAGTCCTGTGTCCGTCCTTCCTGTTCCCTCAGGTCGCGGCCGGTTCAGTGACAGAAATCACCGCAGATGTTTTAAGCGCTGAAGACGCGGACACTGCGTCTGAGCTGCTGCAGTTTGTCGTCACGCCCCCGAGCAACGGCCACCTGGCCCTGAAGAGCGCCCCTTCCAGGCACATTCTGAACTTCACCCAGGCTCACGTACAGAGTGGACGGCTGCTGTTTGTCCACAGTGGTGAGCTCCGGGCTTGAACTCCTACTGGTGGCTCCAAGGCTCCACCTTGTCTGACTCCTGCGTTGGTTCTTCTTCTGCAGGTGCCTTCACCGGCGGCTTCCACTTCCAGGTGAACGATGGCGTGAACTTTGCTCCTCGACAGATCTTCAGCACCACTGCATTTTCTCTGGTGCTGACTCTGCAGAAAAACCATCCAATCGAGGTCTACC